GTGTGTGTGTGTGTGTGTGTGTGTGTGTGTGTGTGTGTGTGTGTGTGTGTGTGTGTGTGTGTGTGTGTGTGTGTGTGTGTGTGTGTGTGTGTGTGTGTGTGTGTGTGTGTGTGTGTGAAGGACCGCCTGCTTAACTGATGTCCTCTCTGGCATAAAACAACGTAAACTGGCTTTGTCCACAATAGTGGAAAATTTAGAAAAAGCCCATGAAGCTATATTACGAGCTCCAACCTCTCGTGTCACTTCCAGGTGAAACGAACAAAGATAGTGACGGCCAAAACGACAAACAGAACAAATGGGGCTATCCGTTATTCTGAATTGGCGCAAAATACAAATTATTACACCGTAATTCTAACGACTGTATGACAAAAAGCTTGAGACCATCAACAGACCAATTTAACCACAAATATTGGGGTCTGAGGCCCTGCTTTGTCATTTAAAATGATAGACAGGCTACATATTTACATAAAGAAAGCACAATTGTCTAGATCAACCTTAATGTGAAGAGAACCCTCCCCGACAACACTTACATTTTTCGTCCACCGTTTGACCCCATCATAGCCTTTTGTCCTCAGCTTATCATAAAAGAAGCTGTTGAAAAAGTGCACCTGAGGGAGAGAACAGAGAAACAGAAGAATGAGGGGCCACAGCTCCATGAAGCCCCTCTCATGGCTCCTGTTGCTTCTGGATGATGTACTTTGTGAGTTGTGTGTAGCCTACTTTCTGACACGAGCAGGACCACATGTTCCAGTGATTAGCCCAGCTGTCCTTATCGTGTCCCCTGTTTCACACGCTCTCTTTATTGTGTTTCAAATGATGAATTTTAAGAATGTCCGCAAAGACATTTCCATGTAAATGCAACAAAAGCCTAATGGGTAATAATTTTGACTTTGTTATCGTTCAACCTTCCATTTCATTCCAGCTGAGACCGGCTGACAGTCACATGTGACACATAACCGTCAGAGTACGGAGGGCGCTAGAGGACGACTAGATGTCATCCTCTGGGAACCACGAGTGTCTCCATCTGATATGTCAGTCTGGGCTGACCAACAGACAGACATGTCCCTGGAGCCGGGTCACTAGAATGGCTATAAAGCTTAACTACCAGTGTTGAACATGTTAAGTTCATCACAAGAAATCAGCAGTCGGACGATCACTGGTGTTACTTGAACAAAGAGAAAATCACTTCTTAAGATTGTCGTCGGGGGCGGGGACAACATGCAGACCCGATGCATTCTATTTTGGAGTGATAGGCTGTATTGCGTTACAAATAACAGATTATAAATAAAAGATATTCAGTAAATTACACTCAAGAAATGTAATTCTGTTTTAATAGACTATAGGACAACTTTAACTCACCTAACCTGCTGGAGAGCGCTAGGCCGAACCTACTGAACATTTACTCAGCTCCACACTCACTGACCCCATGTCACTGAAGTCGTCGGTGTGGGAGCAGACTCAACAAGCAATAGGCACATCATGTAAAGAGTTACTCTGTTTCTCCTCAGGTGGCCTGCTTTGGGATATACCCTCAACTTTGGCGTGTGAACATATACATAACATACGTACAGTATATAACTGCAGGAGCATCCCCTTGCGGCAGTTTCAACAACTTTTTTATTTATATTTTATATTTCCTTACCTTCTCGGGCACAGAGTCCATGACCAGGTCACCATACATGTTCATAATCTGAATCAAACACAAAGAACATAAGGAGGGTTACCCTATTTAAAGAAGCATCTTAAAAAGTGACAGTGTAACTTTTCTGATCAGTGACTACAAAAGGAAGTATTTCACCATTAACCCATTTAGTCTATTTATTGGTATAACATCTACACCATCTGACATTCTGTCCTGGATCTGTAAAGACTAGAGTTTGGCTGTAGGTCTGACAACTGTATTAATCTTACTACGAGGAAGAGGAGCTGCCCTGAACTACATCATGTTCTGGGCAGAGGATAGTTTCCTCAGAATACATTGTATTATTGAAACTGAGTCCAATCAGGAACACCTGGGGGGGGTGTGTTGGTCAGGTAAAGACTCCTGTGAAGGCTGCTCTTGTGTGTCCGCGCTCTTCAGAGCAGAAATAGAACACTGAAAAGTGTTTCAAGAATGCGGAGCAGAACACTTTGATATGGCAGGAAAAATATATCTCCCTGTTTGTACAGCATTATAAAAACAAATGGTCCGTCTTTGTAAAATCCTAAGACATGGTAATAGTGATTTTATCAATGAGCTATTGTTGACGTGTCTGAAAAGCTCAGATCACGCGTGCAGCATGCACCTAGTTACATAAACTCAGAGGTGCAATAAAAAATGACTAATTTTAAGAAACTCATGAGCACATCTGAGGTAAACACAAGATAAAGTGTCGCTTTTGTGTTGTCTTTGTGGAGAAAATCAGTTTTACAGCTCTGACTATTAAATCAACTAATGGATTTGTCAGCCCTACAAATGTTGAACAGTCCTGGTAGAAATCCTTGTTGTCACGGCGTTGTGAGTGTGTGGTGCTCTACCTGGTCGTTGAGCCAGTTCTGTCCATACAGAGTGCCCAGGTCGTCCATGGTCAGCACGTGGCGTTTGTAGTTGACTCTGAACGTTTTGGCCAGGGCGGATCCCGACGAGCGCTGGAAGGATTGTATTAGGTGCTGGACCACTGCTTTCCTAACACACAACAGAGCGCACACACAATGGTACGTTACTCACTGAACTCATTTAGACTGGTTTACTGGATGAATTCTGCTGCCTATTAACCGACGGTCTGACAGAGCGTTAGGTTGGGACTCTCATTTAATTCTTTCCTGGCCACATGTTTCATGTCACACATCTGTCTGGATCCTCACACTGAATGTATTCGGCTTTAATGGAAAGTTAGGGAGACTGATGCGTGATGACTGGAGAAAATAAATGATTATAGATTTTTAAAGATTCATATTTGAAGATTCTCTGTAGGAATGAAATGGTGATTTTACCGGAGTGATGGTAAAACATTTGTGAGCACGCTGCTTTAATCAATGAATTTAGTCAATTAATCACAAAAACAACAGATAAATCAAACCATAATGAGATTCAGTTCCAGAAGCTAAAGAATTGTGTCCAACCAACTCCTCAGTTAAAACGCCATCTGACCACACAGACTGAAGAGGAGGCCGAACCCTGTGACTGACCTGTGAGGCTGTGAGAAGCTCTCGCTGAAGATGTCCTGAAGCTTCTCCACGATGTCGTCCACGTGGATGGGGATCAAACTGCCGTACTGCTGTAGGGACTCTTCAAGAATACCTTGACAGAAGACATTAAAAGGTATCAAACCATCATCTTTACACGGCATGTGTTCCTAAAATCCTCGAAGTCAGCGAACATGAGCGGACAAACAGAGCCTGTGGTCCGAACCTGTCACACAGCTCATGTGTTCCTCAGTAAGGGCCAGCTCCACGGGTTTGACCTCCACGTCCCGCCTCCCTCTGTCCTCTTGCTTGTCTGGAGAGCAGCCGTTCATCAGCTCATCTGCCAGAGAAAAGGAACCAAATTACATGCACACGTTTCTTATTTTTCCTCTCTGCAGATACTCAGTCAATGTTTTTCCCTTCTCAGCAATCTGGTGATGGTAAAATGTGGTGTAATGGTGTAACTCAACTCTGTTAATTGTGTGAAATCTCAATTAAGAAGTTGGGAGGTGGAAGCATTGGGTGCTGTGAAAGAGGACATGAGCTTGCCAGTGTTGTTGTACTTTCCCACAGCTAACTGAAGTTATTACTGATGCGCAATATTTTAGAAAAAGTGCAGGTAAAGGAATAAAGCTTTATCGCCTCCAATCTCTTCCACGTTTATCTTGTCACAAAACCCAAGAGTCAGTTGGGCTTTTTATCAGTTCTGAAATGTGTGTAAAGCTGACAAACTCAAAGCACCAACTGTGGATCTATATGCTGCTTAAAATAGTCCCAAGACGATTTTGTTAAAAACCAAACCTTTGTAAGCTGTTTCTATTTTTTACCCATTCTGTTTCTCTAGCCTTCTTCAGAAGTGAGTGGTGTATTTCAGTACCTCTCTCGGAGTCCGTGAACCTCTCATCGTTGCTGTCGTCCTCTTCATCGCTGTATGGTGACTGCCGAGACCTTTTTGTCCTCCTCTGCTTGCTGTGCTGACTGTGCCTCTGCCCTTTGCGGCTGCACCGGTACCCCCGGGAGCCCACCCACTGCGCCCGCTGGCGCCAGCTCTTCCAGTGCTTGGTGAGCCGAAACCCAACCCCTCTGTGGGAGCGCAGACGCTGCCAGCGCCGGAGCCTCCTCAGAGCCCTGTACCTGCTCAGGTGGGACCTGAACAAGTCCCCCGCTTTGGCCTGGGAGACGGCGTCCTCTGCCGGGACGTCGCCGCCGCCGTCCGCCTCCTGTTGTGGTCCATGATGTTGGTGCGAGTGAGGGTGCTGCGTGGCCTGGGAGGGAAAGTCTGGGATCTCCCACTCCAGCTCCGCCCGGTCTCCTTCATCTTCCACCTCGTCGTCTTCTTCTTCTTCCTCCTCCTCCTCCTCTTCTTCGTCCTCCTCATTGTTATCCCAACCCTTGCCTTCAAACTCTACCTCACCATCCAGATTGTTTTCCTCTTCCTCTTCACCCATTTCCTTGATCCTGCCCACCCCATCCTCCTCGTCGTCGTCGTCGTCGTCGTCGTCTTCCTCCACATATTCGCCTGTCCACACCTTCTCTTTCTGGCCCAGTCTGAGGTGCATGGGGCTGGGTACACTGTTGCCTGACACAGGGACTATGAGGTGGTCTCCAGGAATCCCACCTAAACACAAACATGAGCAGTGATCAACTATGTCAGCTGTGTTTAACCATGTGCCATCATAACCTAAAAACCTTGAGCTTTTCCTTAATTAATTACACAGTTTAAACATCATAGTGTGAGATAAAGTTTTACTGCCAATCGTTATTGAACGATATTCAGTGAAAATATGGAATCAGGAGATCTGCAAAAATTGCATTCCATTCAGTTACATCATGATGCACTCAGGCTATACTTATTTGGCAAAAGTAATCATAAAGTTATAATGATGTGTTCAAACGGAATCTTTTAAAATGTCATTTTGGTGAAAAACTTGAATAAATCCAATAGGACAACAAACAAATAGATATTAGAGAGAGAATTATGACCCGTTTAACCTTTAAAAATAGCTACAAGCAGCTTATAATACATCATTAAAACTACGAAGGACAAGATGCTTTTTAATTTAGAAAAATACAATGTTTTATTTCTTAATTATTTGAATTGTGCATTTTTATGGAAATAACTACAATAGATTACTTTAACAAAGTAAAAAGATAACATTTAGAACTTTTGTTGGTTTAAATAGACTTCACAGTTCTTTAAATGATTTTTGGGACGATGATTAAAAAATAAAAAGACAGTCTTGAGCCTTGCAGACCAAAACAAAACAACAAAATTGATCTGTACTGGCCAATTGGGATCATCTATGATCCGCAATTGATAAAGGCGTCAAAAAGGCGTTATCTGGGATTTATGAAGTTATTTACGCTCCCCTCTTTCTTCTGTGCTGATCTGATCCGTGACACGATCCCAACCGGGACTTTTTGATCCGTTGCACCCTTAATAAGTCTTAATAAGTGTATGATCATCTGAAACTATGACTCGTTGGGTTTTTGGTACCTCAGAATGAACCCTTCATATCTACACAGGGAGGAGGTCCCATTCACACCACTAAACATTAACGGTGGAAGTGTCAAACATGAACACATCCCTGACGGGGAAAAAAAAGGTTCTATTTTAGTTACTTGTAAATTCTGAAGGCTTAACTTGATTAGACTCAGACTCAATGAGCAGATTTGATACTAGTGGAGTAACGGACCACGGTTGATCAGTGATCGGTAGAGATCCCCCCTCACTGTTCGGCACACATGTGAACCTCGGATTAATCACAACGTTTAACGTTAACCATCACAGTGTGAAATAAAGTTTTACTGACCATCATTATCTGCCAATATTAAGTCAAATATGTGATCAGCACATCATTTATGTTTTTCTAGTCGAAAAAAAAAAAATAAATAGTCTGGAGCCTTGTAGACCAGCTGCTATAATCAAACAACAATATGGATCGGCAATGATCGGCAATTAGTATCGGCTGCAAAAAAAATGTGAGTAGGGATCTCTAAAAGTTGTATTTGCTCCCTTTTTTATTTTGTGCTGATCCAATCTGTGACTCTGAACCGTGACTTTTATGATCCGTTGCGCCACTATTTGATACTGAATTTGGATTTGATCAAATGTTATTGAACCACCAGCAGTAAAGTGCCTACCTCCTCCTGTGTCGCCCTGCCCCACAGCAGTCAGACCCAGGTCCCCCTGCCAGCGGTTCTGGGCCAGGCTACCGCCACTGTCTCGCATTCTCCACGGACAACCCACGACCTGCGCCAGCTCGTCACCTGCAAACAGCAACAGACTTCACTTCCTGTATAAATGCAGCATGCTAGTTACCTTGGAGTGAATGAGAACATGACCAGCTGAGCCACAGTGCTCCACTCTCACTCCACACTAGTCACATTGGCAATTTATTTATATAATTTATATTTCTCCTCCATTAAGTGTATCACCACATATCTGTACCTTTAAATATCACCACATCCCTCATCCAAATAGATCTTATTTAAGAAACAAAATGTTAAAAGTTAAAATCCCTTAAAGGCAGCTGTCTTGTAAACCATTATACAAGCTGCATGTATTCAATGTATGGGTGAAGGAGTGAGGGAAGAAGCCCCACAGTGGTAATGTTTTGGCCTCATCTAGAACCTCAGCACTCCAAACCTCACTCTGGATTTACTCACACAGTGGATTACATCTTCCAACAGGTGTGCCGGAGGCCAAACCAACGTTTACACTTTAAATGTCTACAGACTGTGCTAGCTACTAGCATGGCGTCAACATATGCCCAGCGAAGAAGAGAGAAGTAAAGTGGCACAGTGTGTGAAAACGATCAATTTAAGTGGACCGAATAACAATTGTGAGACGCAAACCGCTGCTTGCTATCAGACAGGTTCATATCTCGCTGCACCCGCTGAGCTACACCGCCCAGGTGGTGTACAAAACACTCCATCAAATCGCCTCTCGTGCCTTATAATGGACAAGTCGTTATTACTGCTTGTTTTGCCAACTGCAGCACAGACCATTGCAACGCGTTAATTCACAAAAATACGGGGTTGCTTTGATGGGAATTTAAGCCGTCTTTTCTTACCATCACAAGCTTGATTATATGTTGTCCCGTTTTCATCCAGTATATAAGTCCCTGTCCCCTCACAGGCAACCTCTTCTGTTAACACCGGGCGTCTTGTTACCATGTGCACCAGAGATCGGACATGTAACTTAGCTCGCTAGCTAGCCCGGGTAAGAGAATAACAGTACTGGGAAAACGGGCATTTTCTACAGTGTATAATGTGGCGCGGCCTGTGTCCTGTGCAAGAGAGATGCTTTGAGAAAAGCGGCTCTGTGATGAGGACTATTCTTTCCGGTGAAGGAAATAGTCCTTGCCAAGGCTAGCTTGTGCGCGTTGAGCGCTAGCAGCATCACCGTCATAGTTTCACCCCTTAAAACCCAAATAAAAATAGCATTAATTGCAAACCTTGATTATTCCGCAACCATGCACAGCCAAAGCCCATGCACCACTATTATTAACAGTCTGAAATAACAAAAGGTCTTCAATAATCCGTTGTCTACCCGTGCTAACATGCTAGCTGGTTAGCCATGTTGTCGTTAGCTAGCTAGGCGTTAGATATCATGTTAGCAACAACATAATAAAACGTCCGGCTCACTGTGGTCCTTGCATAGCTAGGTGTTGTAATAGCATCCTTACCGTTAGCCTGCAGATTTATATGAATGTGTGTCCAGTTGCGTCCGACTGAATGTTGGGCGTGTGTAATTGTCTATGGGTATCGAACCAAAACAAATGCTAATTGGTGTTAAACCTCATTCAATGAAGTCAGGTGTGCAGCAGCCAGATGTCACCTCCTTGCGAACTTTGATTTCTTTGAGGTCTTCCGGTTCAGAGAAAAACGCAAACACTCCACAGCAACGGTGGACTACAGTTTACGATGGACATGAAATCGACAGGAAGAATCTATTTAAATTGATATGGTCTGTGTGAAACGAGGGATGAGCCGAGCCGGATCACTGCAGATTGTTCGCTCTCATGTGAACTACCAACAAGTCCGTCGCGCAGCAATGGCGTCATACAGAGAATGTTTTTAGGGTAGCCTTTCGTTTCTAACCCCTAATTTCAGTCTATTGCAAAAAAAACGTACGCAATGAATTTATAACTATTTATTTTGATGGTTTAAATAAGGTGAGTGAAACACAATCAGTGTTATTTGTGATTAATTTTGTTGATTTTTTCCTTGTTATCTGCAAAGTTTATAATACAATGAAATATGCAATTCTTTTGAATTATTTGAATTTGGGGATGTGTTCATGAAAGTTCTGTGTTTTATCAAAATATCACCTGTGCTACTGAACTCAAACACTACCAAAATATTCATAGACTGCTTTGTTCCCTTTACCTTCAAACCTAATAAAGAACTTAGATAATTGGCGCCTATATCATTATTAAACTCATATTATAAATTGTAAACCTCTATATGCCAATAGATTAAACATTTGCTTAAATTACATCATCTCGATGGAACAATCAGGATTTATTTTAAATCTGCACACTTCTGATCTTTTTTGCCGTTTTTAGATGTATTTGATTTCTAGTATTTTGTTAATGAAGACCCCAATTCTGTCCCTTAACTTTCATAAGACCTTTTATTCTTTAGAAGAGGCTTTTATTTAAGAGACCCTTCATTACGTTGGTTTCGGTCACTTCAGAAACATTTTACAATGATACCAACAGTAATGTTTCCTTATCAGAGGGTCACCTCTCCCAGATTTGTCTTTACCAGATGATTAAGATATGGCTGTCCAGTGTGACCTTATGCTGGATACCAAAATCCTAAACCTATTTACCACCCAGAATCAGAATCGGTTTATTGCCAAGTACGTTTGCACATACAAGGAATTTGGCTTGGTTGATATGTGCCAAGGCCAATGTTGCGCCAACGTTGAGTTCATCTCATAAGGAAAGAATACTCTTTATTTTAGTCATGACTTAAAAATTCTTGCAATTCCTTTCCAAATCTCTGGCCTCAGGATGAACTCAGCTAAAAGCGGAATACTGTACATGATTCATGGAGAGCACACAAGATTGTGTGCATGGCCCCCACTTTCAACCTTGGTGCCTTGGCCAATGAATCTCAGGAATGCCATCAGAAAGAAGGTCTAAATGAACTACAGGCACTTGAATATAATGACAGACCTCTTCTCATTCCTACAGTCTACTTTAAGTGAGACTTAGTTTGATTCATTCTAATTTACACTGGAAGAAAATTTAGATTTTTTTAAAAATGTAAAGGTTTAATGTGTAGAGGGAGGTAATCGGCTTGTTTTGAGCATTCTGAAGATCATTTTCGTGAGTTCTGGAGAACTGCTGGACCAGAAGGTGGCAGCATAATCAAAACTACATCAAACTAAAGCAGCACAGCGTAGAAGTATGTGACAAACTGACAATGTGTGCACTTTGATGTTTTGCTATTTTCTTGCTAAAATGGATTAATTTGAAAAATAATATACGACAGAAATAATATAATAGTGAATAAAATAATATTTATTGGAAAATAGATGCTTAGATGTGAATGCCAGTTTGAGTACAATATTAATCAACATAATTGTGCAACCCAAAATCTTAACATTTACAACACAGTATTTTCGAAATAGTGAGAAAGGGAATGACAACACATTCTTTGGCAACAATATAAAAAAAATCAGTTTATTTCTCACCATAGGTTAGCCTGTAATGCATACAGCGCCACGTGCTTCAGCTATACAGCATAACAGTACAATTCAAACCTTCATCAAATAATCCTCTATGCAGATGATATTTTACTGTACAAAAACTCATATTTTAACTGAAAGAAACCTTCAATGTCAATTTGTCAAGAATGTATAAGTTTGTAATCATCCTTTATACAGTAACCTGTATGAATATTAGTCATTCATTTCAATCATCCCTGATGCCCTTACATAGCGGCAATTCTATGAGAACAACCGGCCTGTTGTCTTTGTCATGCATCTTGGGATGACATACTGGGATTCAAGGCTCCAGCTATCTACAACATCGGCAAAGCCGGTTTACCCTTCTGCTAACCATAGCTGCAGCCATGAGCTGGCCTTTGGCTGCGGTCAGAAGGATCTAAACTATGAGCAACATTTCTCTCTCCATCTCCGAAACACTTTGCTGATATTGTTAGTCTCCTCTTGAGAAGTCCGTGTACCTTTTTTGGGTTGCTTTGCAGTGTAGGCAGTTGTTACACTGAACAAACAAGTAATGTTGGCATTAGAAAGTAACGTTAGCATAGGCTACCGTATCAAACACCTGTATTTAGCATAATTCCAAGATCCTATTAAGGACCGTACCATTAACATATGCTTGTCAATTTTCTTACAAAGAGTTATATGAAAAGATCAATACCACTCTCCATAATGTAGCTGGACCAAGCAGCATATTAGCTTAGCTTAGCACAAAGACTGGAAACAGAGGGAAACCTCGGCTAGCTAGCCTGGCTCTGTTCCAAAGTATCATAGTTCATCTACCAAAACACCTAAAGATAACTGTTTTATCTGGTTTGTTTAATCTGTACAAAAACAAAATGTAAAACCGACAATTTGTAATCTTATGAAGGGTTAAGAAAGACTACTTCCTGGCCGTTTTTAGACTTTGGTGGAGCTAGCCCCTGTTTCTAGTCTTTGTGCTAAACTAACTGGATGCCAGCTGTAGCTTCATACCATACAGATAGCAGAGCAGTGGTATCACCCTTCTCATCCAAATCTTTACCTAACTCTAAACTCTCTACGCTCTCTAGTGATACACCTTTAATCAACATAGTTTTGAGTTTCAGCTAATTTTTTTGGCCCACAACTTTACTGCTCTGGTTCACTTTCACCGGTCTTGTAATGCTGCAGATGTTTCAGCACTCTAAAAATCCACTGTACACCTGTTCAGCAGCAAACAGTACATAGACATGGTTAGAGACTAGCTGGTGAACTTAGTGGAGCCTTGAGCAGCTATGAGCCAGATAGGCCTATTTTTCTGAGGAGTTGGAGGAGACCAAACACAGAGTTTAAAGAGGGGATTTACGCTGCACTCCGTTACTGCTGGATTTAACCACGCCTTCCTGCTCTAACATACAGATGAACAGTGGGCCTCTTCCCACATCACCCCGGAGTTTAGCGCCTTTGCAAAGGTTGAAATCCATTTTAAAATCATACTTGTTGCATTATGTAAGACTTTACACAGATAGGTACCAGATGGTGAACTTTAATTGTCCCACAAGATATCTTAGATGTGCTGAGGCATGGGAACAGTTGACCAGTTAATATTTGGTCTGCACCATCTCTGCTTTTAAATTAAGTCTTCAAACACATTTAACAGTCTCGTCTGCCCATGAGATGTGTATATTGTTGTTCTAGCTGTATTATGTTGGCATCATTTCACTTTTAATATTTGCATTTTTGATTTTGTTGTGATATTCTTCTTTGTGGTGATTTGTTGTTTAACAACCCCCCCCTTCTCATTTATTTATTATTTTCCTTATTACCACTTAGTTGTTTTTTTTAAAATACAATAATCATTATTTTTAATTAATAACTTTTATTTTTATTTCCAATATATAATTTCTCCCATGTTTTTATCAAATATCGTTCCACCTGTGAAGTCACTGCTGTTTTCATTTTTTATAGAGAAAAAAAAAAAGGAATTGAGAAGACACAAGGCAAAGCTTTAAGATTGACTGTATTTGTATGAGGTTGATACTGTATGATGTGGGTATTACAAAGCATGCAAAAGAAATAACAAAAACACAGGATAAGTTGGTCAGTGTGCCAATACAAGCTCAAAATGACTCCATCTGGAGGCAAAATCAACAAACTTTGATCGTAACATGCATTTCATAGCATACGATTCGATGAAGCATCGAAAGCCGCAGTATCTTTGAAGGAGGGCAAGCAGGCAGCTGGTTCAAAAGGTGCCTTCGTCCACACTTTTCATGATGCTCACAACCCAGGAGAGGGTCGGATCCACACAGATGTGACGACCCTTTTTCGTAACCACACTGAAATAAATAGATAAATAAATAACATAATGGTCGAAAATTGAGACAAGAAGGAAACCAAGTAGAAAGTAGGAAATGGGGACCAAAAGTACAATTTATTATCACAAATTAAATGTTAAAAAGATTGTATGCAATATACAGATATCTGAGAGAAAATTTAAATTAATAAAAAAAGTAATAGTCACACCATAACAACTCATTCTACTTATCAAGGTTCATTGTATTATACAAAAAAATAAGGATACAGTAAACTTACATGGCTGCAGACTTCGGGCATCGGTAATCAGTCATGGAATATGAGCTGATGAGTCTTTTGTTCAGTCTTCTCGGGTAAGGAGTGAAGCAGCAGTTGTCAGGGCCGATTCCATCTGAAGGAAATAATGAAGTAATGTATTATCAGTCACACACAATGTGTTTGAATGATAAATCTAAGGTTATCTTACTGCTGCAGATCACAGAGGCGATCAGCGCATATCCCAGGATGCTGAGCAGAAGGATGCGAGTGGTCCTCATGGTGACTCGATGTGAAGATGGAGATTAAAACCACAGCTGCTCTTTATCTTCAGTGAAGGGCTTCTAAATACAAGGTGGTGTGTTGTTAGGTTTATCAAGATCGAAGGGGACTTTTCTCTTTTTTTTTCTTCTAAAAGATGTCACTAGTGTGGAGGAGGGAGGGCAGCTGTGGTTTCACGGCGACTAAAGTTGCCTGCGACGGAAACTTTCCACTCACTTTTTCAAAAGGTTGAGGTAGATGACAGGAAATGCAGTTGTGGTTAGCCCGGAGATGTAGCTCAAAGTTAAGACTAAAACCCCAACAGCCCCTAACAACTCTTAAATCCATATGAAATAAAAGGCCTAATAAGACACTGGAATTAAATATTGGTGATCTTTTTTTGCATTTGGTGTAATTTCTTTTTATCCCATTTAGTATGCTAGTAGATGCTAGTAACTGGCCAAATGAGTAGTCAAGTCTGTCAATTTAACAAATATGCACTTTAAATCTCAACTTTTATGCCATCATGGATGAAAGGTTCTTTAGGTGCTCAAAAAAGATTTTAAATTTTTAACCAACAATTTTCTCTTCTGCAAATGACCCCCCCCCCCCCCCCCCAATGCTCAAAGAGATCAATCTAAAAACAGCTAAAAGTGCTGATGCGAGTCGACTTACAACCATCGTGTACAACTTGCTGTGTCACTGGATTCTTTATTTCCCATAATGCAACTTGCTGAAAAAAAGATAATTCTACTGACTCATCGGGGGTTATTTTCTCAGACTGTAAAGAGCTCTGAGCCACAGAAGATATTGTACAACTGTTTCCACGCGCTGAATGTGTAAAAAAGGTGAACCGTCACTCGCTAAGAATCAAAGAGCAAAGGCATTAAATGAACAGTCACAATTGAAAAAAAATCATAAAAAAATGCAGATACAATTTCAAAAAGAAGCCTCAATAGACCAGAATGCAATGCTGCAACAAGACTAAAGCTGCACTAATCAATATTTATTTTTCATATTTTTGACCTTTACACAAGGACATTTCTTTCATGCTATTAATTGGCACATCATTCTATTTTTTCGTTTTATGTAATATTTATTGGCACAAGGCCGATTATTCTGAGCATCCGCACCGTGAATAAAGGCATCAACTATGTTATGAAATGGACATATTCAAAATGGAATGTAACCTTTAATAACACAGAAGCTCTTTAGTCTGAATTGAAACAGCAGACCAGATCCACTCCTTCTGCTCTGACCTTTCAAAAATAAAAGCCCCATATACATATAAACTGCATATAACTGTTTATCAGAGTCAAGAATACCCAAATAAAGGTGTCGAAGGAAGTAAAACGTTTCAAATCAGTTAAGACACACTGCTCCTGGTTGAATATGTACATCTCTTTATTTTAATAAAACCACTGTTCATATACAGTTCAAGTGAGATTAAGTTGCATGGTAATTCTGCTGTCTCCATTAGTCCTCGACAGAACAACACGTCTCTTGTGGGGGAAAAAAAAAAAAGTAATGCAAAACAGAAGCCAATAAATATCAGCATATTACACATTTTATTCAAATTGGATTGAACTTGGTTTCTGGCCAGAGTGGATCATACAGCATTGTGTTTTTGTGATGAAGTAGGTAGTGTTGGTAGAGCTGGGAGGCCCAGCCTTTAATGCAACAACTAACGGCTCTCATTCTGCAAACGCCACTTAAAACACACACACACACACCTCAACGTCACTACTTAAGCACAAAAAGAACACTAAAATTAAAAGGATGAAAAGCGGACAACCCGTTTAAACCTGCAAGTGGTAACATGAAGTGATGATGCGAGGCACAACTCAAAGGCTTACGTGTATGTGCAAAAAGCTTATTGCAGTCCTGCGGTTTGTCACCACACTGGGGGACTGTGTGTGTGTGGTGCAATCAGAAAGTGTTCTGTGCTGCTGAGCTGATGCAAACACTATCTGTTAGCAGGCATGACCCAAACAAGCTGATGATTCAAGGCGCTTCCTGTATCGTTTTGTTTTTAAACCCAGAACACGTGGTGTACTTCATCTGTGGTCCAGGCCCTTAAGCACGTTTGTCGTCATCTCAGTGGGGACAGCAGAGGTCTATGCATCACTGATGGCACAGGACACAAGGGGAAGTAAAGTCCTCCCTACACAAGATCAGCAGCACATCAGATGAAGCAGCTTCACAGCCAATAACAGGACAGTCACTGCACTTCTCAACCTTTATCTCATGAACAGGTTTGTGCAAAATGGGCAACTCACAAACAAAAAGGATATTTAACATTCCCCTATGGGTTCAACAAACTTTTTTTCCTGTGTCAAGGAATCAGACTCTGGCGCTCGTCTCATATTATGCCTGAAGTAAATGACCAAATGAAATTATACTTTGCCATTGAATTTAGCAAGGAGGAAATACTCCTGCTTTTAGCCCAGAATCACCACATGATCAAAAGCATCCTGACTCATGAAGAGACATTGACCTAATTTGAAGCCATTTTTTTCTTGTAGATTAACCACTTTAAACTCAGTCAATATCAGTGTTTTCCCCATAAATTTACATATTTAATCTTAGAAATGTGTTTTTTTTTCCCGATTATCACCCCCCCACCTCCTCTCCCGGCTCAGTAATTTATTTTTCTTTCCTTTACCTACAATGGGCCATCGTAATCAACAGTAAGATAGCTCTTCACTTGTTCTTAGCTGATTATCAAGAAGAACAAACTGTCTAGCTTGTGTTAACTCATCAAAACAATGCTGGTGATAAAACCTCAAGCAACAGTGATGTCGATACTGGCCCCGCCCACTGCTGGTCAGGAAGAAGTGACACATTAACCACGGTGTGTGAACGCAGCGGCAGGGACACACACATTATGGTCTACATGACAGGAAGTAACAATCTGTTATCCAAACAGACGGACTAGCCACCCGCTTACACCTGTGGAACCGTCTCCTGTGCTCGAGTTAGAGGCAGCAAAAACGTGAAGAGAAAAGCTGCTAAAAAGGGAAAAATCTGCTATTTGCGAGGCGGAACAACCAGTCGGACTGATTCTGTAAAAAATAAAACAGACACGCAACATAAACTGGAGGTAACGCTCGGCCACAGATACAGACAGGAGAGCAGCTCCCTACGGCCGATTGTCAAGTTGCAGTGTCGAGGCCCTCGGATCAGAGCGCCTACAGTGCATGTCGACTACTATTGTCATCATCAAGACAGGCTCAGCAACAACCCTTCACTTGTGTCCTTTTGATAAATATTAAATAAATACATTTTAAAAACATCACACCAACAGACTGAAATGTACCTCTAACATTTAGGGAAGTCCGTGTCCGACGCTTTACTTTACTCCAGTTTCATCGACATAAATAAACCATAAAAGTCATTTTACTAGCAGCTCATGACCTCTTAAAAACAAATGTAACCGCGCGGCGCTCTCAGAGACACCGAGTTATGTGCATTTCATGGTTCTTTAGCTCAAAGAGCCAAGAGTTGACTTCATGGAATGGATCGGGAAACAAAAATCTGTACCAAATGAAGAAACGCACAAATGAAAAGCACACCGAGGACAAAATCAAACTGAAGGAATGACTTAAGTTTTGAGTGGGAAAAAAAGAAAGTGCAGAAACAAAGATTGAGACACAAGACACCAGCTGGAGTTCCACTTCACACAATTCAACACTGTCTGAGACTCATTTGAAGACTTTACTCTCACTTTCCCTGACCGGAACTTATCGAGATTGGAGAGTCACATATGGACTTTTGTTTTTGTCACAGAAATAGCCACATTTAAAGAAGAGACAAGTGGAACTGTAGCTAGAAAGAGTGTTGACTTCAGATCTAAGAGTGGTATCTCTGTGGTTTCCTCTGGGCTGAGCAGACCTGCTGAATGTGGGAGTGTGTGATACATTCTATAGCCTCTGCTGCCTCTCAGCAGAGGAGGGGCGGTGGGAGATAAATAAGGCCTCGTATTCCTTTCCACACCCCACCCTCATCGTCACTGATAAACCCCCCCTCTAGAGTCCTGGTTCCAGTTGGAGCAGTGATGCGGCTCTAGGGGAAGAGGTTTATCACAGCGGCTACAACCGGATACGTTCCGCTGAGCTTAAAAGGTCTTTCTCAGGGTCCATGCGGCCTGTTGAGGGTCCAGTTTCCCCCCATCGAGGGCTGGAGGGGAGGACTGGTTGAGTCCAGTAACGTGTGACGGCTCAGCGCCTCAGCACCGGGCTGCCTCGCTCCGGATCTTTCTGTAACGTCTGCAGGACCTGAGGAGATGGAGGGAGGTATGGTTTTTAAAAAAAGAAGAAAAACTAACCTAAAAACCCTAAAATGGAAAAGCTGCGTCGTCCTACCTGCGCCCACTTCCTGTTGCGGCTAGTCATGTGAATGGCGGCAATGTGCTGGAAGAGCTGCTCGGCGGGGATGGGGTCGGGCAGGCGGGTGAGGAACTGAGCCATGTGGATGAAGTCCATGGTGGTCAGGACGTCCTGGTAGAGACGCAGCAGGCCCAGCCCCGTGCGGAACAGGAACTCCTCGTTGTCTCTGCAGAACACGTCCCACACCCGACACGCCAGGTCCAACGGCAGGGACTTGCTGTACAGCGTGAAGATCCTGAAGGGAGACGAGAATAAGGTAACACAGTAATTCAATTAAAAGTGACGGGAAACAAGAATAAATATCTGAACTGAGCCTCATGAGCCGCAGAAATGAGGCGGATGAGGAGGGAACGGTTGAAACTCACCAGTCGATTAAATAAATATCGGGCGTCAAGCTGTTTTTCTGGAAATGTGCAAAGAGCTTTGGTAGGTTTTCTTCAAAGAACACTTCAAATGCCGCAAAGTAAGTCAACATCTGTAGAGAGAGAGGGGAAGCTGGTCTCAGAGTGACACAAAATAAACAGGTGGTGTCCAATGAGCAGCGAGGTGAGTCGTCTGTGGAAGTGCTTTAATGCTGCCAGCCCTTACAATGCTTTACTGGATACTTGAGTCAGCATTTTGAGTCATTTCTTTAAAATGTGAATGTTAAAATGATGCGTCAGTTAAAAGAAAAATTCACCACATTCTATGTGTACGTGTAATCGATGTTGATGGTAAATGTAGTTCATTGAATCAATGAGTAGTGTTCTCTTGCTGCTCGCTGAGCCGTGCCGGCAGTGCCTACACGTACCAGCATGCATTGCGTGTTAGCTTCAGATGTGGCCAGATCTTCTTGCTTGGCTAACGCAGCCTCAGCCTCTCCCTGCTGCATTTCTTCAGACGGAAACTCTGACTCCAACACATACGGCTTAATATCACAGTCAACCAATAGACTGTGAAACGTATCCTCGTCCAGAACGTCCTCTCTTCTCATATTTTAGGAGGACATTTTCTCTGAGAACTCAGATTTCTGGGTCAATATGAAGCACTGAGGAATTTACTGCTTCGGTCGAGTCCATTTACCATCAACACTTATTGGACATCTGTGTAAAAAGGTGGTGTTTGAATACCTAAATATATGTGTATGTGTGTGTGTGTGTGTGTGTGTGTACTGACAAGGCTGTGGTCGACTCTGAAGAAGGCCATCTGACAGGGCTTGTTGAGCAGGTTGGCAAAAGCTATAAAGGCGTCAGCTGTGTCAAGGTTCAGGATCAGCACTGCTGCGATGAACGACATCCCCTGCACCTACACAAACACACACACATAGTTTGTACAGGCAAACACAAAGCAGAAAAGAACTGTGGTCTAACAGTGGTCTTGCAAGCATAAAAAAAAAAAAAAAAAAAAAAAAAAAAAAGTGTTA